AAGTGGGTATTATCTGCAAGTGTGGGTGTTCTTGTGCATATGCCCTCTCTTTTTATCAGCTGAACACTTCACTCTCCACATTGTAGGGTTTAGCTTGCCACTTCATTGCTGTTTTTCCCTCCCTTCCCCTTATCGATGATGAACATGGTCACCAACTGTATCATGCATTCATGCTAGGAGGAATGATGGTTGATGATATGATGACACTGACTAGAAAATCTGATTGATTTTCCAATTCTGAATACATAGTCAATTGACATGACATAGTTAACAAAGACAATGTTCTACATCCTGCTTGGGTGAGTAGCATCTGAGATCTTGAAAGCTCATGAGTGGCTGTCTAAGGTTCAGCTATTTGTCTCTGCCTGTGCAGAAGACAGTGATAAGGATTGAAGAAGAGACTTGGAATCAATGAGTCCAGTGGACTGATGGAACATGTGAGCATCAGTCTCCTTGACTTTGAGACCAGAAGAACTAGGTGGTACCCAGCTACTACTACCAACTTCCCTGAAAGGGATCACATTAGAGGGTCCCACATAGAGTAGGAGAAAATGGGGAACAAAACTCAAAATTATTCTTTACAAAGACAAAAAGAAACCAGGTTTACTGGTCAGAAAGAGACTAGAAGAACCTGAGACTATGGCCCTCAACCACCCTTCAGGTCTGGAAAGGAACTCACCCTCGTGGCTGAATTTTCAGCCAAACGTATATAGGTGGAACAACAACACTAGCAATGTATACTCACCATGAAATGGTCAATCTTTCAAAATTAAAAGGGCAACATATTTCTAAGGACAAAGGTAAGGGATAGGAAGGTGGGTGGAATGCTATTAGGAAACACAAGGCAGAAACAGGATAACTTGTTTCATGGAAGGACTTGTAACTATGGAGATGGCACAAAGTGTATGATTTGTTGAATGTAAAGCTGATGATTTTGTCTGTAAACCTTTATTCAATTTACAACAAAAAGTTAAAAAATATAGATAAAATGTATAGAGGTAAATACTGTTAACTGATGGTACATGGAAAGGATTGCAATCATTGTAATGAAGCAAAGTATATGATTTGCTGAATGTAAAACTGATGACATGCTCTGTAAACCTTCACTAAACTCACAATGAAAAGTTTTATTATTTTTTTAAAAAAGAAAATTAAACTCATTTTAGCTGTTTTTCCCCAAAGGAATCCTCCAACTCCTCCTCTAACATGGATTCAGACAGCTATGTTGAAATGCATGATAAAAAAGCCCAAGTATACTCTAAAGCACAGATACAAGATATCACAAAGGAGCTACATTGCCCACTGTGTCAAGACTGGTTCCGTGATCCACTGATGCTAACCTGTGGCCACAACTTCTGCCAGACCTGTATCCAAAACTTTTGGAAGCCGGAAGTCAAAGAAACCTTCTGTCCTGAGTGTAAGATGCTGTGTAAATATAGCAACTGTACATTCAATATTGTAGTGGAGAAGCTGGTAGAGAAGATTAAGAAGCTACCCCTCCTCAAGGGCAATCCACAATGCCCAGAACATGGCGAGAACCTGAAACTGTTCAGTAAGCTAGATGGAAAACTGATCTGCTTTCAATGCAAGGATGATCGGTTGTCTGTGGGACAGTCTAAGGAGTTTCTGCAGATCTCTGATGCTGCTCGTTTCTTCACGGTGTGTGAGCCCTTAGCCTTAAGCAATCCTTGAGAAAGCTGGGGGAAATTTTGTGTAGGTCTTTTTATCTCTCCCAACCCATTCCTTTATTCAAATGATTAGAAAGTTCACCCACCCATTGCCATCGAGTGGAATCTGCCTCATAGAGATCCTGTATAGGGTTTCCGAGGCAGGACCACCAAGTTTCATCTTTCTCCTGTGAAGTGGCTGGTGGGTTAGAAGCCCAGTGTTTGTCCTTCTGTGCCACCAGGCCTCCTTAGAAAGCTCACAGTGCTCATAAAATACAACATATATAGTAAAATTCTTTCTCTACAGTTATTGTGTATGGGAAAGGAGTAGTGGTGGAACTTAGTCCTATTCCTTCAATCAAGGAAGTATTTACCCAATCCTGCCATGAACACATAACTCTAGCCACTGAGAGGGCTTCAAAACATTCGTGGAAAAATTCCATTCTCTTTTAATTCTATTTTTCCATGAAAAATTTTAAAGGCCCCACCTATGTATGTATAAAATATTGCTCTTGTTCTCAAAACTTAGTTGTTTAAAATGAACAATAGACACAATATAAGATAGTATACTATTTAGAGCAAAATATGGTCAACTTTGTAGTTCATAAATGTTTAGGCCCTCAGAGAAGAGTAAGTAGCAAGAGCTGAAATAGAAAGGGACACATGGCAAAACAAATGAGTAAGACATGAATTGGGAAATCACTTGGATTTGGATTGTCAAAAGAAAAAACAAACAAACAAGTGTTCCAAGTGGAAAGAACAATGTCAAAGTGTAGATAGTGAGAAAAGCCAAACTGGAGTGGATATTTTGTTTAGTTCCATTACCTTCTTCAAACCCCTGTAGCTAGTAATAAGAGGGCAAAATGAGTCTTTCTACTGCTTGTAATTTTCTTAATTCTTGAAAGAGACAGAAATTACAACATAAGGGAAAGACTCTTCCAGTAAGAGCTGTTTTTTTTTTGGGGGGGGGGGGGGAGGGCACACTGGGCTTTGGGGGAAGATGCTATTTGTGGATCACTCTTAGGGTCTTTCATCTCCCATTTGGGTTATAAGTTTTTCTACTTGGTATTCCTAGGAGGAACTTAACATCTTTCAGAGTCAACTGGAGGAAACGCTGAGGGAGCTTCAGTCCCTGAGGAATATGCAGACGGATGCTATTGCTGCTTACAAGGTGAGAGGCAGGGTAGAGGGGCTATGAAATATAACTGGAATAAAAAGGTGGATATGCATATTTTATCAGTCTTACTAAATATATTTCCTCAGGTACCTGAGCTACAGAATTCAAAAACTGACACTGTTTCATGGGAAGGAATACGGAAGTGGAGTAGGTTTTCAGTCGTTGGTATACACATAGAGAACAAATTGATCTTTACCCTAAGATGGTTCAGTTACTAGGTGATTTTTATAGGGTTGTGTTCTCATTGGTCATTCCTTTTTCTATGCCAATATGAAGAACTTACTAAAAAGCTCCACAGCTATGTCCAAAAAAGGAGTACTGGTGTGTTGCTGTAAGATAAGCACATACTGCTAACTGCAAGGTCAGAGGTTCAAACCCCCAGTCGTTCCATGGAAACCCTATGCAGGTTGCTATGAGTCAGAACTGACTTGATGGCACTTAACAACAACAACAATATACAAAGAAATACATTTCTGTCCACTGGGTTTATAATCTATGGACCAATATCTCAGGTGTCTGGCTTTCTACATCTGATTTGATCTTTTGTAGCTATTGTCTAACATTCTCTACTTTAGCAGGAACTCTATGACAACATTAATGGTTAGGGATTTGGCAGATCAGTTTCTAGACTGGGTAGTCTAAATTGGGAATTCAGCTTCTTCATTAGTAATTTTATGGAGGAGAGTTCTCTGGTATTTGATACCTAGAGGTGAAAATATGTAGAAGTGAGGAAAAGAAGGACAGATGGAAGTAATGATGTCTCTGAAGAATCTTGTTGCTGTATAAAGAGTTCCTAATTCAGCTGTTTGCTGTTGTTAAGTGCTGTTGAGTTGGTTCTGACACATAGCGACTCTGTATAGCGTTTCCAAAGAGCAACTGGTGAGTTTGAACCACTGACCTAGTGATTAGCAGTTCAGTGCTTATCCTACAGCACCAAACCAAGCCTCCAGTTCAGCTATTAGTCAACACTTATTCATTCAATAAATATTTATTGAGGAGTCAAGCATTATATGTTGTTGTTGTTAAGTGCTGTCGAGTAGATTCCGACCCATAGTGACCCTGTATAGGGTTTCCGAGGAGTAGCTGGTGAGCTTGAACTGCCGACCTTACAGTTCAAAAGTGAAAAAGCAAAATCACAAGACAGCTGTTGTGTTGTTAAGTGCCGTTGAGTTGGTTCCAACCCATAGTGACCATGTATAGGGTTTCTCCCCCATTTTTGCTCCACAGACTTTTAAAAAAAAAATTTTTTTTTATTGTGAATTGAATGAAGGTTTACAGAGAAGACCATCAGTTTTATATTCAATAAATCATACACTCTGTGTCATCTCAATGATTGCAATCCCTTCCATGCAACAACAGTGCCCTGCTTCCTCTTTGTGGTTACCCATGTACAAATATCCTTTCAAACTCTAATATATTTGTGGGATATATATATATATATATTTGTTGTTGCTGTTGTCAAGTGCCATTGAGTTGGTTCTGACCCATAGCAACCCTGTATAGGGTTTTTGAGGAGTGGCTGGTGAGCTTGAACCACTACTGACCTTGCAGTTCAAAGTGACTATGCAGTCTAGTGCATTAACTCACCGTACCACACTAGGACTCTCTCTCTCTCTCTCTATATATATATATTCCACTCTTCCTCTCATACCCATTCAGCCTGTTCATGTATCTATGCACAGAACACTGTTGTTCAAAGGTTGTGTATAGATCACTATTTACTTCTTCCCTCTTTAGCCTATGCATACCTCCCTGTTCTTTACCTATCTTCAACATTTTTCTGTCAACCTCCATCTTCTTGTATCGTACTCTCCCTCTTCTCACCACAGACTTTTTGAAACCCCTTGTATTAGGTTCTGAGGGTGGGAGACATGATAAAAAACTCCTCATAATAATAAAATAATAACTGTAATAAGTACCACAAGAAAAATCTAGATAGGGTGCTATAAGAGCATATGATGGAGGACCTAATCTAGACTGGGCTGAGGGCGTTACCTGAAGAAGTCACCTTTTGAAAATTAAGAATCAAAGGACCTGTAACTTGGTTACATGAGTGGAATGAAGGTAACAGGAAGGAAATTGACCTGGGAAAGTCCTAAGACAGGAAGTTAGTTGCTCTATTGAAAATCAGGTAGAACTCCATTGTTCTTGTGTCAGCACTCCAAAACATGTGGATTGCTTTTTACATGCCTCCATAAATTTGAATTTCTGTGCTCTTCTACCAACTGTATTTGAAACAGTGTCTGCTAATTTGAAACAGTAGGCAGGGCACTCCTCAAATTTTAATGTACATATAAATTGCCTGGTATCAGTGTTAGAAATGAATCCTGATGTTGCGTAAAAGACGCTCGGTGAGACTGAATTACCTTGGCAAAGCAAAATTTACTCCTGCAAGTGGGTGCGTGCACATAGCCGTATATACAGAACAGGCCAGCGAGCACACCAAGTGGGCAGTCCACTTGGGTTTTTAATCACTGTCGTGAGTCTCAAGGCTGTGTCTCACCCCATGGCTAGGGTTTTGACCACACAATCTTTTCCCTTACCCGGTTGGCTAGTTCAAATTTTTAAGGTGCACATTCCTACTTTAGGAAAAGAAAATGAGAGTGATCATAAAGTCTTTATTCACTTCAGGAAATAGTTAAAAGAAAAAGAGAGCAATCATCAATTCTTTACTCACTTTAGGAAGCAGTTAAAAGAAAAAGAGAGGTTACCCAAATACAATAAACAGGATTAAAAAAAATTTTTTTCCCCACATCAGGACAACTTCAACAGAAACCAGCAAGTCAATGAAACTGGGACACGGTGAATAAGATGAAATGGGAGAGGCAGATATGGACCCCATCATGTAGTCCCTCAAAGATAGTGTTGAGAATTTCAAACTCATCCTGTGACTAATGGAAAGGCATTAAAGCAGGACATAGTTTCATCTCATTCTGAAAATATCACTTTGTGGAGAAGTAACTGGAGAGGGGCAATGATAAAGGAAATGGTTATAAGGCTACTGCAGTTGGCCCTGGGAATGATTACAGTGGCATGGAGTAAAGAGGCAGTAGATATGGAAGGAAATAAATACGTGGCGCTGAAGGATAAGCACTGACCACAAGGCCACTGGTTCAAACTCATCAGCCACTCCTCAGAAACCCTATACCGGGTTGCTGTGAGTCAGAAGAACCAACTTGATAGCACTTAACAACAACAACAACATATGCTTTGGATTCCTGGTGTGGCGCTGTAGGATCAGCACTGGACTGAGAACCACACGATTGGCAATTTAACCCCAGCTGCTCCTCTGAAACCCTGCACAGGGTCACTATGAGTCAGAACCGACTCTAGGACACTTAACAATAATACCTATGTTTTGGAGATAAATTTCCTGGAATACTGGTGATAGAGTAGATGAAAGAGGTGAGCAGAGACGGTACATGGGAAGTGTCCTATAGGAATGTGGAGCTCAGAAATTGGTCTAGGCTGGAGCTAAAAAGTTAGAATATAGATGGAATTTAAAGCAATAGGAAGGAATATAAGATATTAATAAAAAAGAATACAAGATATTAATATAATTATAGTGTGTCGGAGAAAAACCCCAGGACAGAGCATCAAGTAATATTTAGGGTGTGTAGAAGAGGAGGAACCAAAAAATAAGATGAAACAGTGGTAACAAAAGTTGGATGGAAACCAGAAAAGAGAGAGCTACAGGAGATAGAGATTTAAGATTATCACTGTAGGATAAGCACTTGACTGCTAACCGCAGGCCGGCCATTCAAACCCACCAGCCACTCATCAGAAACTCTATTCAGGTTCGATATGAGTCAGAACTGACTCCACAGCACCTAACAATAACAACAACAATGCAGTTATAATGATGTTGTTGTTTTGTGCCATTGAGTCAGTTTCAACTCATAGTGACCCTGTACAGGATTTCCGAGGAACAACTGGTGTGTTTGAACTGCTGACCTTGTAGTTTGCAGTTCAGGAAGGATCTTATAGTGCCACACCAGAAGTCCAAATTACAATGATAATAATTATGTCCGAATTATGATGAGAGGGGACATGACGACAGAAGCAGGTAAAGAGAAATGGAGGGGGACGGGTCAGTGACATTCAATGGTTGTTTCAATGGAGCTACTTGAGCAAGCAGGCTAGGAGCATGTATGATTTTGGAGATTGTACAGTTTCTGGGAATTATAAAATCCAAGATGTGACTATGAGTATGTGTGATTAAAAGTGGGAATATTAGTGACAAGGAAGATAAAGAACTAAAAAGCCAGGCTGTCAGATGGCTCGCCAATGAGGATGCTGAGACACCCAGGAAAAGAGTCCTAAGTGTAGCATTTCAGTGCTTTGACATTGCTCATTTTCGGCTACTTCTACCTTGTCCTGGCAGCAGTAGTGACATCCCCCTAGTTCTGATTTCTAGATCAGAACAGTTCTTCAACAGAAGTACAAAAAAAGATCTACCAAGGAGAGGCTGGTGGATTTCAACCACTGACCTGTGGTTCAAACTGACCTTTTGGTCCAGTGCATTTTCCTGCAGCACCACACCAGGTCTCATATAATATCTGTCCTTCTGTGATTCACTTACTTCATTCAACTTAATGCCCTCCAGGTTCATCCAAACTGTGAAATGTTTTGCATATTCATCTTATTCTTCAACATTGCATAGTGTTCCATTGTTTGTATATTCATTCATCTGTTGATGAGCACTTAGGTTGTTTCTATCTCTCTGATATTGTGAATAATGCTACACTATATCTATTGTATCATAGCTCTTATTTCTCTAAGATATATACTTTGTAGTGGGTTTGCTGGATCATATGGTATCATTATTTCTAACCTTTTAAAGAAACAGCCATACCATTTTTCACAGTGGTTATACCATTATACAATCCCACCAACAGTGGATGGGCCAGTATTTGCTGTTTTCTGGTGGTTCTTTATTTGTTGTTGTTTTTATCATTGCTATTGTTGCCAGGATGAGATGATGTCTCATTGTTATTTTTATTAGCAACTCTCTAAAGGCTTATGACCTAGAGCATCACCTCATGTATTTGTTTACAACTGAATGTCTTCTTTAGGGACCACTTTTGACTATTTCAACTGGAATTATGAAACCAGCTGGCAAGTAAGGCAGTTCCTCAAAGAGATCCTTTTAGAATGGTTGGCTGTTGGTATGCAACAGACATTTGTATGCATTTTTCCTTTATGGTGTTTCTCAAGTAGTTTGAGAGTTGGTGGTGTGGGCCCCTACCCCCAAGTGCTAATCTCACTAATTACTGTGGTGACGATTATGGAGGTTTCCAGGAAAACAAGCTTCATCTTCAGCAACATATCTCTCTGGAGTTTCTAAAACTGCATCAGTTCTTGCACGGTAAAGAAAAGGAAGTTTTAAGTGAGCTTCGGGAAGAGGGGAAAGCCCTGAATGAGGAGATGGAACTAAATTTGAACCAACTTCAGGAGCAATGTCTACTAACCAAGGAGATGCTGGTGAGCATACAGACACGGATGGAACAGCAGAACGCCTTCGACTTTCTCAAAGTGAGGCCCCACAGCAGCTTGATTGTGGGTATGAGTAAGTGGGGAAGGGGGTTGGAAAGGCTGTATGTCTGGTAAGGCTAAAGCTAAGGGGTAAAAAACACAATTGTGTGCTTTTATTATTCTCTGGGAGGAAAGCAAGAGGGCCCTTTTGCTTTATGCTTGCTTAGTAGAAAGCTTTACTTTCATGCTGCTAGAAAAGAAGATAATAAAATCCATTAAAAATAATACAAGTAATCCCCAGTTTAAGAAGTATTCAAGGCTGCACTATGACTGTCCAGTTGTGATTTTTTGTATATCTTATCATTAGTAAGGAGTCCTGGTGTGGCGCTGTAGGCCAAACACTAGACTACTAACTGCTAAGCCAGTGGTTCAAACCCACTAGCCACTCCTCAGAAACCCTATACAGGGTCGCTATGGGTTGGAACCGATTCGATGGCACTTAACAACAACAATAAAGGAAATAATTATGAAAACTAAAAAGAAAGAGAGAAAGGTTATATCAATTTATGAGGGATGGAGTCATCAGAACGGAACCTTACAATACTTTATGTAAAGTAGAAGTACCATTTTGTGTTCCCCTCTGCAATGAATGGTATTCTGAGTTGCTATATATCTTCACCAAAATGTACCAGTCAGGCATTGCCTGTATACATTAAATTCTTTTCCATAAAGGTAAAGAGCATTGAAGCTTTACTTCTTAAATACAAGAACACTGTGACCAGAGTTGTATCTTTGAGTAACTCTCAGCAATCATAAATTGATCTATTTAAGAAGCTGTTGGCCAACCTTTGCTACCTGAAGCTACACCTCTAAGGTTCTTAATTAGCCAGAGTAAGGAAAAGTGACCTTAGGGCTGAAATACTTTATGTTTTTCTTCTGGAATTATTTAGAAGTGTAGGTAAAAATTGTTTAACCTTAGTAACTGTCCTGTTGACTTCTCTTTCATTTCCTGTAAAAGGGAACTTTAGAAAATCAGAGCAAACTAAGACTGGCTTAGCCTGAGCTAGATTGGAGATTCAAGGTGTCTCCACTCAGAAAAGAAAGGCATGCAGAAAACTTGGCAGAGATGGGATGGGGCCTGCCTACACAGGGGCCCAGTATTAATGGCCAAATTCTGGTGGTGACAAATATTATCAAAGAAATTGCTGGAATTGATGAACAGGCATGTGACTTCTCTGTTTCTCATTTCCTCTTCTAGGACATCACAGTTTTCTTAGATAGGTAAGCGTTTCCCTATGGTATTCTTAATATCCTCCCTTCAATTTATGGAGATGTCTATAAATAAATGATTTATGTCTCCTGCAGCTTGGAGCAAGGAATGAGGATGCTGGTACCTAGAGATCTTGTCTCCAGAAAGCTGAATCCAGGGCAGTTCAAAGGTCCTATCCAGTACATAGTATGGAGGGAAATGCAGTCTACCCTCTCACCAGGTATCAGTGGTTAGTAGATATTATTTCCTGGAATACCTATGTTTTTTCTGTGGGCCCTACAATACTTAGCTAGTATTGTAGAGTCTAGGATGGGGGAAGGGCAGAGTTCAGCCAAAAGGTGTCAGAATTACTTCTTAGTCTAACATTTTGTCTGATTGTTGTATCAAATGTGATAATAGTCTAAATTTATCCTCTTTGATAAATCATTTATATAAACCCTTGGGGTTTCTTTGTTCTAAGAAAGAGAACGTTTCTGGAGGAACTGTTCATACATATAGATGGAGCTCTCGTAGCGTAGTGGTTACGAGTTGGGCTGCAAACTGCAAGGTCAGCTGTTGGAAACTACCAGCTGCTCTGCGGGAGAAAGATGAGGCTCTCTGCTCCTGTAAAGATGTACAGCCTTGGAAAGCCTGTTCAGGGTCGCTATGAGTCGGAACCGACTCCACGGCATTTAACAACAATGACATATATATATATATATATTGTTGTTAAGTGCCGTCGAGTTGATTCCGACCCATAGAGACCCTGTATAGGATTTCCAAGGAGCACCTGGTGAGCTTAAATCACCGACATGGCAGTTCAAACGACTTTGCAGTCTGATGCATTAGCCCACTCTCTCTCTCTCTCTATATCTATATCTATATCTATATCTATATCTATATATATATATATATACACACACACACACACATACATACACACAGAGTTTTTAAAGTTCCCCTTGTACTTGATATTCATAAGAGTATGACATTTCAAGAGGTTATTTAGAAATCTTCAGTGCTTCAGGAGAAAGCCAATGATGTTAATTTGTGGTTGTTGTTGTTAAGTGTCGTCAAGTTGGTTCCGACCCATAGCCACCCTGTAAACGGTTTCCGAGGAGAGGCTGGTGAGCTTGAACTGCAGACCTTGCAGTTCAAAGCAACCTTGCAGTCCAGCACATTTACCTACAACATCACACCAGGACTCCTTATTAATATGTGTGCCTAATAAGAACACCAAGTTTTGTGTTCCTGCAGATACCCAAGGACTGAGCAGTACAAAAAAATACTCAATAATGTCCTCAATAAAGTTCTTTATAGAAGTAGCATTCTAAATAAAGTTCTTTATAGAATTCAGATAGATTCAATATTATTGTTTACTGTTACTGTTTTAATGAACACTTCAAATCTATATCCTTGCTAACATTTTTTTTTTTCATATAATTGACACTGAGGTATCCAAAACCAAATTCATTGCTGTCAAATCAGTTCTAAATCATGGCGATTCTATAGGACAAAGTAAAACTTTGTTCTTTCAGTTCCCAAGCTTGTAATTTTTAAGGAAGCAAACTGCCATAGTTTTCTGCCATGGAGTGGCTAGTGGGTTTGAACTGCTAACCTTTCAGTTAGCAGCCAAGTGCTTAACCACCATGCCACCAGAGCTCCTTTACTGCAGTGTGATACAGTAAAATTCACCAATTTTAAGTGTAAAATTTTATGAGTTTTGACAAATATGTAAGCTTATGTAAACAACTTCATAATCAAGATATAGAACATTTCTATCGCCCCCAAAATTCCTTCATGCCCCTTGGCAACTAATCCCTAACAAGTGTTGATCTGTTTTATTCTACTTGAGTCTTTTCTGAAATTACATGTAAATAGAATCATATAGTATATAGTCTTTTGTGTCTGATTTTTTTCACTCAGCACACTGTGTTTTGAGATTCACCCATATTATTACATGTATCAATCATCATTCTTTTTATTGGTGAGTAATAATTCCAGTTTTCGTAGTCATTCATCAGTTGATGGACACTGGGCTCTTTCCAGTTTGAGGTTATTCTGAATTAAGTTGTCTAACCATTTGCTAACAAATTTTGTGTTTGCAGTTTTAAGGGGGCACACATTTAATTGTGGGATTGCTGGGTTATGTGCTAAGTATATGCCTAATTTGATAAGAAACTACCAAATTATTTTTGTAAAGTAGAAGTACCATTTTGTATTCCCCTCTGCAATGAATAGGAGTCCAAGTTGCTATATATTTTCACCAAAATTTGCCAATGTCAATCTTTTTAATTTTAACCATTCCACAAGTAGCTTTTTGGCTTAAATTTCTCTAATGACTAATGATGTTTCGCATCTGTTCATATGCTTCTGTCATTCATATATCTTTTTTGGTTAAGTGTCTTCAAACCCATTTTCTAAAATTGAGCTGTTCTTTTTATTACTATTAATAAATTGAAAGGATACTAATCCTTTATCAAATAAACGTTTGTGGCTGGTCTTTTCATTTTTTTTAACAGTTTTTTTCAAAAAGTAAAATGTTTTCATTTTGAAAAAGTAAATTCATAGTTTTTTAAATGATTCATTCTTTTTATATCCTATAATAAATTCCCCAATTCAAGGTCACAAAGATTCTTTATTTCTAAAAGTTTTGTTTTAGCTCATATTTAAACTTAGGCTCATTTAAAGTTGACTTGAACTACAAGGTCAGCAGTTCAAGCTCACCAGCCGCTCCTTGGAAACCATATACAGGTTCACTATGGGTCAGAACCAACTTGATGGCACTTAACAACAACAACATTCTATTCTAATGATATATATGTCTATTCTTACACCAGTACCCATTGTCTCCATTACTGTAGCTTTATTGTAAATACCGTAACCAGATAATGTAATTCCCCCATTTCAATTTCATATATCAAAATTATTTGGACTATTTTAGACCCATTGCATTTCCACTTGCATTTTGGAATCAGCTTGTCAATTTTTGTGAAAAATCCTGCTGGTATTTTGATTAGTATTGCACTGATTTTATATGTCAACTTGGAGAGAACTAGCACATTAATTATAAGAGTCTTCTGATTTCAGGAACATAGTATATTTCTCCATTTACTTACATGTTCTTTAAGTTATCTCAGCAATATTTTATACACACATATTTTTGTTAAATTTATCCCTGAGTATTTCATGATATTTGATACTATTTAAAATTTTTTATTTCCAACTATTCTTTGATACACTCTAGAAGTACAATAGATTTTTGTATACTGATTTTGTATCCTGTAGCTTTCCAGAGTACTTAGTAGCTGTTTTTTTAGATTCCTTAGGTTTTTCTATGTAGATAATTCAATCATATGCAAATACAGACATGTTTACTTATTCTTTTCTATTGTTGTTATTGTTAAGTGCTGTTGAGTGGATTCTGACCCATAGCCACTCTGTATAGGGTTTCTGAGGAGCAGGTGGTAAGCTTGAACTGCAGACTTTGCAGTTCGCACGGATTTGCAATCTGGTGCATTAACCCACAGCACCATTTCCTTTATCCCATTGGGTAAGACTTCCAGTACCGTGTTGAGCAGAAATAGTTAGAATATATATGTTGTTATTAAACATTGTTATCAAACATAGGGGAGAAGGACTCAATCTTTCATCATTATGCATATTGTTATTGTTTAGTGCCATCAAGTTGGTTCCAACTCATAGTGACCCTGTCTAGGATTTCCAAGGAATGGTTGGTGGGTTTGAACTACCAAACTTGCAGTTAGCAGCCCAATGCTTATCCTATAATGCCTTGTTGTTGTTGTCAAGTGCCGTTAAGTCAGTTCCAACTCATAGCAACCATGGATAGGGTTTCTGAGGAATGACTGGTGAGCTTGAACTGCTGACCTTACAGTTCAAACTGATCTTGCAGTTCAGCACATTAACCCGCAGCGCCATACTTGGACTCCACATATGCTGTTAGAGGCTTTTCACAGATGTCCTTTATCACATTGAGAACATTACCTCTAATCTTAGTTTTCTGAGTTTTTTTCCTCTTAGAATCCTAAATATGTGTTTAAATTGTCAAATGCTTTTCCTACATACATGGGGATAATCATATAGGTTGTTTTTTTATTTTTGTTTTTGGCAAAATCTGATTTTTAAATGTTAAATTACCCTTGCATTCTTTGGGTAAGTTCTACTTGGTATTGATTTGTAATTCTTTTATATAGCCTGTTGGGTTACATTGACTAACATTTTGTTAAGGAGTTTTGTTTCTGTGTCCATAGGGGTATTGATCTTCAGTTTTCTTTTCTTATCATGTCTTTATTAGGTGTTTTTTTTTCTTCAAACCAGGGTTTTTATACTGACCTCACAAGTCCCTCTTCTTCTATCTTCTGGAGGATTTTTTTTTTTTTTTTATAAAAGTGGTTATTATTTCTTTTTTAAATATTTAATAAAATTCACCAAAACCATCTGGGTCTGGAGTTTAACTAGGAATTCAATTTATTTAATACACGTGTTGTTGTTATGTACAGTAAAGTCAGTTCTATCTCATAGCAGCTCCATATAGGGTTTCCAAGGAGTAACTGAAAGATTTGAACCACTGATTGTGGTTAGCAGTTTAGTGATTATCCTATAGCACCATGCTAGGACTCCATTTAATAGATATTGTTGCTGTTAAGTGCTGTTGAGTTGGTACCAACTCAAAAGTGACACTGTATGGGTTTTTCAAGGAGCAGCTGGTGGTTTGAACTATCAACCTTGTGGTTAGCATGCCAATGCATATCCTACAGGTCCACACCAGGACTCCTTTAATAGATTTGGTGGTGGTGGTGGTTATGTGTCTTGGAGTTGATTCTGACTCATAGTGACCCTGTATAGTGTTCTAAGGCTGTAAAAAAAATGTTTAAAAATGTTTTATTATGAATTATGTGATAGTTTACATGGTAGAACATTAGGTTTACATTCATCCTATTGTATATTCTTTCACTGCCATGGTTACAATCCACTCCATGCATCATCAACCAACTAAAGGAGAAGGCTGTAAATTTTTAAGGGAACAGAAAGCCTCATTTTTTTTCCTGTAGTGTGTCTGGTAGATTTGAACTGCTGCTTACAGTTAGCAGTCCAACTCGTAACCCACTACATTACCAGAGCAGGGATGCTTAATTTATCTGTTTATTAAGTGAGCTTTGGTGGTTTGTATCTTTTAAGGAATTTGTTGGTTTCATCTAAGTTATGATCTTTATTGACTTAAGGCTGTTAATAATATTCCTCTATTATTATTATTTTTAGTGAAGGTAGGATCTGTAGTGATTTTCCCTCTTTTAGTTGTGGTTGTTGTTGTTTTGTGCCATTGAGTCGGTTCTGACCCATAGCGATCCTGTATAGGATTTCTGAGGAGTAACTGGTGAGCTAGAACTGGCGACCTTCAGGTTCAAACTGACTTTGCAGTTCAGTGCATTAACACACTATTGGGGGGAAAAAAAGAGGCCAATTTCAACAGTCTATATAAGTCCTTTTAACTTTTAAATCAATTATAAACTCTGACCATTGTTCTCTAAACTCTCTACCAATTTGCTCAGTCTTATCTGTTTTCCTGGCACTTGCCACCACCACCACCAACCTGTCTGTCTGTAACAGCCATGTCCTTACCTTCCCTCTCACACAAGGTGCTGTTTTTAACCTGCTTTCTCTTTTTGCCTGTTTTTCCAGCGTATCCCCAATACATCTATCTCATATATGCTAAGATGTCCTCATTTTCTTTAGAATACTTTCCTAGGGCAATTTTACATAATCTTTACACTTTGGCAATTGTATTTTCTTATATTTGTTATTGTTAAGTGGTGTTAATTCAGTTCTGAATTATAGCGACACTGTATAGGGTTTACGAGGAGTGGCTGGTGGGTCTGAATATCTGGCCTCATGGGTCAAACAGACCTTGTGGTCCAGTGCTTTTTCTACAGTGCTACACCAAAACTCTTTCTTACATTTACTAGTACAGATTTACCCGATTTGTATTATTTCCTAGACCACAAGTTTGGTTTGAACTGCAAGGTTGGGGGTTCAAACCCACCCGCTGCTCCTTGGAAACCCTGTACAGGGTTGCTATGAGTTGGAATTGACTTGACAGCATTTAACAACAACAACAAAGAGCGTTCTTTACTTAAGAGTGAAGTTTGGCTTTTATCACAAATATAAAAAGGTCTAAAATGAATACCAAAAACAATATAAAGTATGTATGTAATTACCTGCTGACAGTAAGAGCATATGTGTATGGAAGGATAAATTGCTGGTATCTATATAAATACTGTCTTTTATTATGGGAATTTACACTCAACCCCTTTCTTCCATGCCTTACTTTCTCTTATTTCACTAGGCCTATCTCCATTAACTCTGGATCCTAAAACAGCTCACCCAAATCTGATGCTGTCCCAAAATCGAACCAGTGTGTGGCATGGTGACATTAAGCAGGCAATGCCTGATGATCCAGAGCGGTTTGACTCAAGTGTAGCTGTGCTGGGCTCTAAAGGTTTCACATCTGGAAAGTGGTACTGGGAAGTAGAAGTAGCAAAGAAGACAAAGTGGACAGTTGGAGTCGTCAGAGAATCCATTATTCGGAAGGGCAGTTGCCCTCTGACTCCTGAGCAAGGATTCTGGCTTTTAAGACTAAGGAACCAAACTGATCTAAAGGCTTTGGATTTGCCTTCTTGCTGTCTGAAACTGACTAATGACCTCAACAAGGTGGGCATATACCTGGATTATGAAGGAGGGCAAGTATCTTTTTACAATGCTAAAACCATGAACCACATTTACACCTTCAGTAGCACTTTCACTGAGAAAATTTATCCCTATTTTTGCCCCTGTCTTAATGATGGTGGAGAGAATAAAGAACCACTGCAGATCTTACATCCACAGAATTAGTCATACTGTTATATTAATTTGGTGTGTTATTAAAGAAGGTATTGAAATAGTTTACTAGTCTCACTAGTTTCTCTTCTCAGTGTATGGAGAATGATAATGAAACGAGAAAATCACAAATCAAATTCCATTCTTAGTATCCTAAACAGATTTCACTGGAGCCTTTCAAGATGTCATTTTCTGCAGTCCTGTATGACAGAAGAGTGACTTTAATGGATGATCATATTATTGCCACTGGAATAAACAGCAGCTTCAGTTTGTAATTCTCAGGGACCCTTTACAGATGTGCTCAGAAATTCTAGAGGTCCTTAATTTCCAGAACAATGACTTGCAGTAGATGGATCCCTGGTGTGGCCCTGCAGGATAATGCACTGGACCACAAGGTTGGTTTCAATCTCAAGGTCAGCAGTTCAAACTCACCAGCCACTCCTCGGAAACCCTTTACAGGGTTGGTATGAGTCACAACGGATTGGATTCGACAGCACTTAACAAAAACAATACTCTTCTTATTTACCTACCCTTTTTATATACGTTTTGCATCTCCTTTCTTTTCTAGAACTTGTTACTGTAGTTTTGGGAAAAGTTCCCTAGGTCTTCAAAGAAAAAAAAGTAGGAAACAATCTAGGTTAGTTTATAGCCATCTTGACTTCTCTCAAGACACTTTCTAGCCCAGCGAATCTCTGACTTGGTTTTCTTTTCTCCTGTTTAATCCATTAATAGGAGCACTTATCCTTCTATAGTCAAATAGAATTAAGTACCCCCACCGACATTTGGGTACAGTGACTCTGTGTATTCCTTCCATCTTCTTTTGATGCTTTCTGCATCATTCAATAATTTGCCCAGAGATTCCTTAAATGACAAAAGGTTTGAAATTTTTCTTCAGTTGCCCCAGCTTGAGAAATGTCGAGCATGTTCTCCCCTTTTAGTTTTCTGACTCCAGATCTTTGCACATGTTGTTGTAATATTTGACTTTGTCTTCTTGAGATGATCTTTGAAATTTTCTTTTCAGCTCTTGTACCTCCTCATTTCTTCCATTTTCTTTAGCATCTCTATGCTAGAGAGCAAGTTTCAGTGTTTCTTCTCACATTCATTTTTATCTTTTCCTTCTTTCTTGTCTTGTTAATGACTATTTGCTTTCTTCATGCATGAAGTTCTTCATGACATCCCACAACTCTTCCGGTCTTCGGTCTATAGTGTTTAATGCATCAAATCTGTTCTTCGGATGATCTGTAAATTTAGGTGGGATATATTCAAGGTCATATTTAGGCTCTCGTGGACTTGTTTTCATTTTCTTCAGCTTCAGTTTGAATTTGCATATGAACAACTGATGGTTTGTTTCACAATCTGTTCCTGACCTTGTTTTGACTGACAATATAGAGCTTTTCCATCATCTCTTTCTACAGATGTAGTCAATTTGATTTCTGTGTACTCCATCTGGTGAGGTCCATGTGTATAAACATCTCTTATGCTGTCTAAAGAAGGTTTTTTGAAATGAACAACCCATTGATTTTCCAGCATCATTTCTATCACCTAGGCCATATTTTCCAACTACTGATCCATCTCTTTGCTCCCAACCTTTGCATTCCAATCACCAGTAATGATCAATACATCTTGATTGCATGTTTGATCCATTTCAGATTGAACAAGTTGGTAGAATTCTTCTATTTCATCTTCACTGGCTTTAGTGGTTGGTGCATAAATTTTAATAATAGTGGTAATTAACTGGGCTTCCCTGTAGGTGCATAGATATCATCCTATCACAAGCAGCATTGTACCTCATAACCAATCTGGATATGTTCTTTTTGACAATGAATACAACACCATTCTTCTTCAATTTGTCATTCCTGGCATAGTAAACCATGTGGTTGTCAGATTCAAAATGACTAATACCAGTCCATTTCAGCTCACTAATGCCTAAGATATTGATGTTTATGCGTTCCATCCATTTCATTTTTGACAATTTCCAATTTTCCTAGATTCATACTTCATACATTCTATGTTTCAATTATTAATGGACGTTTACAGCACCCTAGCCCCTGAAAACTTCTAATCTACTTCTTCTCTCTACAAAATTGCCTATTCTAAAGACAGGAATCATACAATAGCTGTCCTTTTGTGTCTGGCTTATTTCACTTAGTATAATGTTTTAAATATTCATACACGTCATATCATTTATCAGAACTTTTGTTTTATGGCTGAATAATATTCCATCATATGTATATACCACCTTTTGTTTACCCATTAACCTGTTGATGTTGTTGGTAAAAGCTGCTGAATTGTGATGGACAAGGGTTATTCCCATCTTTTGGCTATTATGGAAATTGATGCAATGAGCATTGGTATACAACTATCTTTTTTAGTTCTTTTCAATTCTTTTGGGTAGAAAAGTGGCATTACTTTGTTTAACTTTTTGAAGAACTGCCCAACTATTTTCCATGGTGGCTGTATCATTTTATATTCCTACCACTAATGTGGACACCTGGTATGGTGCTGTAGAATAAGCACTGGACTGCTAACTACAAGGTCAGCACTTCAAACCCACCAGCTGCTCCTCAGAAACTCTGTATAGGGTCTCTATGAGTGGAACTGACTCGACATCTTTTAAAAACAACCACCAGCAATGTATAAGGTTTCTAACTTCTCTACATCCTAACCAAAACTTGCTAGTTTCCATTTTTCTAGTAATAGCAAGTCAAGTGGGTATGAAGTGTTACCTCATTGTAGTTTTGGTATGCATTTTCCTAATGACTAAAAATATTGAAAATCTTTTCATGTGCTCATTGGCTATTTGTATATCTTCTTTGGAGAAATATCTATTCAAGTCCTTTGCCCTTTTTAAAACTGGGTTGTCTTTTGTTATTGAATTGTAAAAGGTATTTCCATATTCTGAATATTAAACTCTTCAAACAATTTGCAAGTGTTTCTCTCATTCTGTGAATTATCTTTTCACTCTCTTGGTAGTGTTCTTTGATGTATCTTATGTATATTTGACTATACCATTTTTCATCATTCTTGCCTATAAATATTAATATATTTCATATTGCCTTCTCTAGCATATTCATACTCCAATTGGTTTGTTTTTCCTAATGTTCTTAGGTTATTTGATCTCTGATGCTGTCACAGAACTATCCCTATTTCCTTTTCTTGGAAGTTCCCTAATAAATGGGTTTCATTCTCTATATTTGACAGTTTTTCATTTTGTTTATAGTATCTGCAGGATTAGTCCTCAAAGATTACAATTAGCAGAGAGCTCTTTGGCAGTACAAATATCCCTTATCTCATCTATTTACCAAAACCAAACCAAACTCACTGCTATCAAGTTGATTCAGACTCATAGCAACCCTCATAGGATTTCTGAAGCTGTAAATGTTTACAAGAGCAGAAAGCTTCATCTTTCTCCAGTGGAGCCAGTCACTGGTGGGTCTGAACTGACTTTGATGCTAGCAGTCTAGTGCTTTTCCTAGACACTGTGGTAAATAATTTCAAGTAGTATGGGGGATATAAGGGTCTAGTTGATATCTCTTAAGTCATATGCAGAGTTCTAGATAACTGATATCCAAGGTCTGTCTTGTTGTTAAGTGCTATTGAATCGGTTCCAACTCATAATGACCCGTATAGGGTTCCCAAGGTTTGAACAGCTGACCTTGTGGTTCAGTCTAGTGCTGATCCTACAGTGCCACACTAGGAATCCATAAGTCTGTCTTAGGGACAAGCAAATGCTTCAGAAAAAGAGAGATCAATATTCACCAGATGAGAAAATTCTAAGAAAAAGTTGTGATTAAGTTGGGGATAGGGTCAGGGTTATGGTTAGGTTTACTCTTAGGGTTCCAATCAGAGTATGTATTCCCGTTAGGGTTAGGGTTGGGGTTGGGGTTAGGGTTAGGGTTAGGGTTAGGGTTAGTGATACGGTTAGGTTTAGGTTTAGGGTTAGGGTTAGGCTTTCAATTCAATCTTGTATTCCCATTATGGTTAGAGTTAGGGTTAGTATTGGGGTTAGGGTTAGATTAATAAGAACATAAATTCTAAAATAAATTAGAAAATACTTTTTAAAAGTGAGTGTTTTATGGTAACGGTTATTTGTTGTGATTGTTGTTAAGTGCTGTGGAGTCTGTTCCGACTCATAGTTTTTGATGAGCGGCTGATGAGTTTGAACTGCTGACCTTACAGTTTACAGTCCAGTACATTATCACCAGAACCCCATGGTGATGGTGATATAACAGTATAATTACACTTGGATTCACTGAGTTGTACACTTACAGTAGGAGGATTTTATACTTCAATAAAGCTGTTACAAAATGAAAAACTCAGTGTTTTATTCGGATCACATGGGGAGCAATTACAGACCACAGGTGTACACATATTTTCCACTCTCTGTAAGGGTCCATTTTAATACTTTTTTTTTGACATACCTGCTCAGCTTTCCAGCATTTGTCTTAACATTTTATTGTTCTTAAATGCCATCGAGTCAGTTCTGACTCATAGCGACCCTGTATAGGGTTTCTGAGGAACAACTGTTTGGTTTGAACCACCAACCAATTCTTTTCTCCTGGTGGGTTCAAACTGCTTACTTTTCAGTTGACAGCTGAGCACACTGCTACTGTACCACCAAGGATCCTCGGCCTCAGGATTGGAAAGGCTGTTTTAAAACAAGATGCGACCAAAAATAAGCAGGAAAGAATAGATGAATTTGACTACATTAAAATGTTAAACTTCTATATATCAAAGATATCACAATTGGAGTTGAAAATACAAGTTACACAATGGGCAAAGATACCTGCAATGCAAATAACCAACAAAGGATCTGTATCCAGAATATATGTCACCCTATGAATCAATAATTGTTTTCAAACATTCCAATAGGAAAATGGGCAAACATCTGAGGACCATTTCATAGAAGAAATGAACAATGAACTTTATGAAAAGATGTTTATCTACAATGATAATCATGGAAGTGCAAATTAAAACCACAATGAGATAGCGTTACATCCCCACCTTATTGGTAAAAATCGAATGAGTAAAGACCTAAATTGATGGGAGCTCCTAGTGTTAGGGGGA